TAATGGAAAAATTTTTAGTGCGCATTTTCCTGAATGCATTTATAATTTTCTAGCCTAATAAGGAAATTATCATTGTAAGAGACTGGTTATATATTAAGTAAAACAGTCACTCTATTTCTGTTAGGCCCAGCAGCAGCCAAGCGGTAAAGTCACTGAACACTGGCAGTTCGGTCCGAATTTTGAATACCGCGAACAGACAGGCTGCATGGGTGTTTTCCTGGTTTTCCCCATGTGTAACATGTATATGAGCCAGTTTTCCTTAGAAAGTCCTCCACGAAGGTATCCCTTTCCTTAGACAGATAGCTTTGCCGTAATTACATAAAACAAACCTACTTCTGTTAGGTGGTCGCGGGTCACTAAGTACAAATTCCCGTGCCGTAGCCCTATCTCAGATTAATAAATATGTGATGCCTAACCTGTCAGAAGCATTCTAAGGGTGTAAATATCATTTTAGAAAAAAAAAAAAAAAAGTTCCAGTGTGGCGAGGAGTAGGGAGAATTACAAATTTGGGAAAATGAAAACATTGGGAAGAGAGAGACTCATTGTCGGATTAATGTCCTGTCGACTAAATGTCCGTGTCGGCCAAGTGTCCTGTCGGCTAAGTATCCCTGTCAGCTAAGTGTTCGCGATCGGTAATGAATGCCTTCTTATCCCCCCTTCTTGTAAAATATCATAATGGGATTGCTTGCTTATCATTCTACAAAAAGCTTTATAATTAACCCCATTTTGTACACATTTTGTGGATTAAAGAACTAAGATCATCTTTCTTTCCTTCCTCTTTTTTTTGAAGAAGTTTCCTCCCAAAGTGCCTTTTATTGTTGCTTCTGAAGTTGTTCCAAGAATTCCACACTGAGCGCATTTTCGTGGTTCTTTAGTACCTCCACATCTTCAATGTTAATTTCTAAGGCCATGAATGTGAATATATTTCAAAAGGCATTTGTTACACATGCAGTGCTTATCATTTTAGAGACATGAAGATATGGAGTGAGTTAATGCGTGTGACTGGCATTGAAGGGAAAAAGATAGAATGAATGAGTTTGGGCTTTGACACTGCATGCTTGTACACCAAGCCACATGACTAAAGTAATGAAAGAATTTTCTATATTGGTATAAGTTTGCTAGCTGATAGCTGGAATTTGGGTTAAGTTGAACTTTTCCCGTGGGCTATAGGGGCCAATTTCGAACGTATTATGGCCATTTAGTCACTTATTTTAAATGAAAGGAACAGAAAAACAAATCGACAGCGTCTTGCACTTCCTAATCCATATTAAGGAGTAAATTTTAAACCTCCACAGTTAACTGAAATGTTTTGAGACACATTTAAAGTAGTGAAAATGTGGGACGTATATGTCCCAGCCCCCTAGAAAAGGTTAAAAGTAAGTTATTTAGCCATTAAACTCAACATCTGTACCTGAAATAAATATTCAATCTAAAATTTAAAATTTAGCTGTCTATGTGTTTGAATAACAAAATATAATCAAAAGAAAATTTCTTGCATGTACAAACCTACAGATTCCAGATAGAAAATAAATATATATTCTAATTTTTCTTTTGTGTTATTATTCGGTTCTACTGGAAAGTTCTGTCCGTTTCTATAACAACAATTTTCGACATGTAAGCACATGCTTAGTTGGTGAATGTTTGGCTCTCTATTTTTATCGCTTAATGTATACATACTGATGTAGAAAATAAAAGTTGATTCAAGTTAGTCTTACGCGAGCATGAAGCAACAGTGTCCACGGCTACTGATAAAGTTTATTTACACCACTGTATTTTATATGAATTTCAACAAGGAAGAAATGCTACAGAAGCACGTAGAAATTTATAGAAAGTGTTTGGTGAAGGTACAGTTCTGATATGACATGCAGAAGATGGTTAAAAAAACTTAAAACAGGTGATTTCGATACTTCTAATAAGCCATGTTCTGGACAACCATCTTTGATCGGCGATGATGTTGTTAAGACCATGTTGGAACAAGATCCTTTTCTGACATCAGAGATCGTAGAAAGGCTTGATTTAGCTCAGCAAACCATTTTGGACCATAGGATTGGTGTGAAAATATTCAAGATGGGTGCCATATGAATTGAGTCAGAAGAATTTGGATGATCGAGTCGTCATATGCACATCTCTGCTTGATCGGAACAAATTCGATCCCTTCTTGAACCAGATGATAACTGGGAATGAAAAATTAATTACTTAGGAAAACATCGTAAGGAAAAGGGCATATTGTGAGCCCGGAAAACCTAGCCATTCTACCTCTAAACCAAATTTGAATAAGAGAATGTTGTGTATGTGGTGGGATATTCGAGGACCAATACATTATGAGCTTTTAAAACCGAACTAAAAGCTCAATTAGGAGAAGTATTGTCGGTAACTGGGTAATTTAAAGACAGCAGTCCAAGAAAAGAGGTTGGTGATGTTCAACAGGAAGGACACTATGCTGCATCACGATAATGCCAGGCCCCATGCCGCTTTGAGGACTCCAAAAAATTTCAGAACTAGGCTGGCAAATTCTGTCGCATTCACCACATTTCCCGGGCTTAGTACTCTCCAACTATCCCTTGGTTTCATACTCACACTGGCAAGAAGTTATTATTAATAATAGCAATTATATTATTTAATAAAGTTTACTGGCAGTAAGAAAAATTGGTATTTTGTGTTATTCCAAAATGGACAGAACTTTGCGGTAGACCAAAAATTTATGTATTTTTTATTAGTATTCTGTAAAATTTTTTTAAAAAATTTAGTTTGTTTTATTCTGTTAAAAGTCTTTTTTAAATTTTGTTAAAAGTGTTTTTTAATTTAAAAATTGTTCTGTTCTATCAACTGCTTTCAACATCTCCATGCTGCTCACATGCAATTAGAGTTCGAGACCACTGCTGTAAATCACTCATTGCCATGTTTTATTCATGATAATTTAGTAACAGGGAACATTATAATGATGTTTCCAATAGGCTCAAAGTGTTAATTCTATACCAGATAGTATACTTAGTATGTATTAATTACATATATCATTGCTACTCGTTACTCGAGACCTTGTTTGCCACCTCAGATATTGTTTCTTATGAATTTTTTTAATTAAATTTATTCATGATAAAGAATTCTTCATAATTTAAGGTCCCATGTACATAATTAAATGCTATATAATTACATAAGTCAATCCTTACAGAATACCAACAAAAGCCTTGAGCTTGCATTCTGCTTCTATATGGTACTTCAAGAATTTGAAATACATCTCAAAGCTTATTCTGCTCAGTACCAAAGTTATCTGTAATAACTATTAAAAGCTCATATATACAGGCCAATCATTGTTTTAATTGAAATTTGCAATTTTATTGGATTTTTGCAATAATTTAAAATATGCTTAAACTTTGGTTATTCATAACAGATATATAATGTCTTTTATATGCTTATTAATTTCCATTTTTGCCATTTCAGCAGTGTTTTCTATTTCGTAATGTTCCATTTTTCTTCATTTTGTGGCTGCACACTGACAATGCCCAAGAAGCAAAAACAGCACATCCGACATTGTAAAACCCATTTTTGTTGATAATAGATATTGAAAAAATAGTCTGTCATGAAAATGCATTTAAAAAAAAAAAAAAATGGTATAAATGTTAAAATGACTTGGTTAATCTATATTTTAGGCTGCCCCTTGGATTATCGCCAAGTTGTTGTTTCATTTATGGTAACCTGAGTATTTGAATGTTATGGAAACCCTACTATGATGTGATTGGTTGCATGATTGCGGTGAATTTGACTGATGGGAAAATATTTGTAAGAGCTTATTTTGGCGTTGGATGTCAGTTAGTGAGTACGTTGCTTATTTTGTGCTGTACACCATAAAAATAGCTGTGATGAGATTAATGTGAAGTTTCTGTATGATTTGGAACAAAAGGCGGAAAAAGCATTAATTGACTAGTGTGCAAATGAAGGTTTACTCAGTAGTCATTGTAAGTGCCCTGTTTGTACGGAGGAAATGTGTATGGTCAAACGTAAAGATCGTTCAGATGGCTTTGAATGGGTTTGTTGCAAGAAAGGTTCATGCTTGAAATGCTCCCGACAGTCCTGCATTACAGAGGATATTTTTTACTCTATTTTTGTGAATTTATGTGGTGACAGCAGTATGCATGTTCTAGTTCAGGAAAGTTTAGAAAGCTTTTGGATGCTGTTAAGGAATTTTATGTGCCACAGACTGAAGACACATAAATTTCTAAATATAGTAAGTCAATATTTTCTTTTTGTAGTGAGTATATGCGATAACATGCATTTCCTTTTTTATGTCATTTCATTGCGTGATTTATAATGCAGTTTACCGAGCTTCGATTGGCTACAAATTTTGTTCAATTTTGGAAATGAGTAACTTTAATTATCATTTTCCTGACTTTTTTTATATAAATTGAAATACAGGAAAAAATTGCCATGTCATTTCAGAAAAAGTCCGAATTTGTGTTAAAAAAACTTATATTAGAACAACGCTATATATAAATCTAATATATATCCTAAGTCGGGCTTTCGAGACAAGAAAAATGAAAGTTGAATTTTCTCTATCGGCTTGGTAGAACTATAAAACTGTCCCCCCTTTTCCCCTCACGCAGTTTACTAATGGGCTAATGTATGACAAAATGTATTTATATTACAACATAAAATATTTAATTGCAATATTTAAATATTAAAAATTTATTATAAAGATCAAAATACAAAAAATCTCAGATAAAAATAAAATATCGAAAGTCTCAAAGACGAACCGAACAAAATCAAATCAGATTATACCAAACCGATGTATAGATAAGAAAAAATTGTTCTGATGCAATTCATGTACTAATGGGCTAATGTATGAGATATGCACTTATATTACAACATAAAAATATTTAATTGCAATATTTAAGTATTAAAAATTAATTATTAAGTGAAGAAGAGGCATGATTTATAGCATAATGGTTGGCAAAATAAATAAGAATGATATTTTAATAGTCAAATTTTTTTAAAACCATGCTTACTGTAGGCTGGATGGGAAACAATTTTTTTGTGAAGATTATTTCCAGCATATTCTGCTACTTTGGCACCTCCATGACCATCATAAACTGCAAAAAAAGAAGCTTCTTTGTCTTCAGCTAGGGATAATAAATGTGTATGTGCATCTTCCATATCTGAACGCAAAAGTTAAGTCTGAACACAGGAATAAGAATGAAACAAAACTGAAAGCACAATAAAAAGCGATCAAGAAAAGTAATTTTGACCTCAATCTATACAGACCAATAGTTAAGTGAATATATATATACAACATAAAGGAAAGAAAATCGGGACAACTTTGGAATCCTGTGCTTTGGCTGCAAAGCTTTAATTAATAATTAAACTCATTAATTTGATTATACAGTCAAAAGTCGTTAATCCGGACTCGTCGGGACTTCGGAGATTCCGGATTATCGATTTTTCCAAATTATAGATCATCAGTTTAAATCTGGTAAGATGGCATGCAGAAATTATAAAATTAAAAATATGAAACCATAATTTATGAAATAAAGAACAATTATGATCTAAAGGGTATCACAATTTACAAAAAAAAAAAAAAAAAAAAAAAAGAGCTTATTATTTATTTGTTTACTTTATTAAACATTTCTTTCAATGTAAGTTGTTTAAGTTGCTTTGTTTTATGTGATAATACTTTCTCTTTAATTCTATAAACAGACATAATTTCTTGTTCAGTTACAAAGTTCTGCTGTTCAAGTCCTATAATTGCTGTGTCAAGAATACCGTTTAATTTGTCAATCGAAATGTTTTTCGTTTTTAATAACGTCTGTGTCACTTTCTTCAATATTGAAAGCGAATTACAATTACGAGGAATTTGATTTAAATCATATCAAAGACGGAGTACATCGAGATGAAATACTACATTTAGTAAGGAATTATAAGCATAAATAATAAAAAAAAAAAAATCATCTGCCCTGAAGAAAAGGATAGTGCTGACAGATCAACTTCCAATTCATTGCGCGCCGTGGCGTCCCCGCCCCGACCGCAGAGCAACGTGAAGTTGATAAACAGTTTTCGGAATGGTTAGAGAAACGAAGGATATGCCTTTATCCATTTTTTGCAGCAATTCCACTTTTTTGTTTGATGGACATCGAAATACACTTTTGCTTTGTAGATCCGGATTATAGATCATTCCGAATTATGGGTGTCCGTATTAACGACTTTTGACTGTACATATATATAGTTTGAAATATTTCAAATTACTTATAAGTGGAAATATTCTATGACACCTTGAGAGAAGCTAGCTTTTGTCGTTCTTAAGAATCTTTAACAGTCTTAGAATAAATTTATAAATAAATTGAAGTGTATAATATATTTCACTCAACCTTACTACAAACCCACGTTAGAATATTTAGATTTTAATACAGAATTTTAATCCTATGAGTGGGACATTCTATGTTACTCCAAGTTAATCTAGTATCTCTAACATATACTTATCATAATATTTTGTAAAATACTTTACTTACTTACTTCTATAGTAATTTGAAGGTTATGAAAATAAATGGTAACATTAATTATTATAAAAATATGCCATCATTTAAAGAGATAAAATTTTATTTAGATCCACAATAAATTCAGAATGTTAGAAAATCTATTGGCTCATATATTTGACTCAGTGCCATTTTTAAGACTTCCAAGACATGTTTTAACATTAATTATACTAATATGAGAGACCAAAATCTATTTAGCAAATAACAAAGTATTTGGTTCTTTCCATCTATAAAGAGAAAAATATGAATTGTAATTTAAAAAATAAAGTCATTAAGGATCAGTTGTTTATGAAACAGTTACCTCTGATGATTAAAAGTATACTTAATTTTTATTTGTGACTTTTACTGTTTAATATTTTACATAAATCAGAACTTATCAAAACAACATTATCTTGATATAACAACCATGCTTTACAATTATTTTGTCTTCAGTGTCAAACCTTCATATTTGACAGAAGCTTTCACATAAAAAATTACCTCCCTAACATTTATAATAGGCAAATAAAAGTAACTAGCACATAGTGAAACGTTTGATAAAATGTAATTTTAATTATTAGTTTCACCTAGTATTCTACCAGACCACTTGTCCAGTCCCACATTATTGGCATGTGCACAATATTGGCATAAATTCAGCACCAGATGTTCTCTTTATTCCAAAATTAAGTTCATTCTATCTTTATTTTAATTAGCAGCATAATTTCTTTACACATTCATTTAGTTTCATATATACAAATCAATAACTTAAATCAATTAAAATCTGTCACAGTTCAGACCCAGAACAGCTTTTTTTAAAAGTGAAAAATATGCAATGTAAATATATAAAAGCATTAAATGTTTTTCATTAGATATATCATTAATTAAATAAATCTTTATTTAACTCAATTAGATTAAAAAGTTTATAAAGTAAAATATGTTTAATGTTTTAATTATATGCATGAATTAAATGCATTTTTCGGGAAATCTCAGATATGCAGCACTTGGCACAATTTTTTCCATCATCTTGAATCGTGAAAAATAGCCATATTCGCGGGAGGAATTTTTTGACGCCAAGAGAGAAATGGCATCAAAAGACACTTTCCAAAAATTCCCTCTTCAGCCCAATATCGGGGGAAAAGCTCTGTTGGGCGAAAATCGCATAAGGCAGTGTAGCGTTTGCGTTGAGAAGGTAAACCATACACATAGAACAAATTGTAAACGATTAGTTAATGTTGTGATTAAGTGAATCTACATACTTTCTTTCATCTTAGTATTTTAGATTATGATATATATAACTCCAGCATTATTAACTTTTATACTTCTCTTTTTTAATTTTGACCATTAATTTGAACAATTATCGGTAATAAACAAGTTCTTTACATAAATGCAGTAATGATCCCAAAAATGCAATATATATCACACAGTTAAAGATGAAAGTTTAAAAAAATAAACTATGCATGTATTTCCACAGCAATATTACATCCTCAAAATGTATTCCAGGCTATTCAATCATCATTCAGTCTGATTTATATTGGACATTCTGGATTCTTTTATGCACATAATTTCACTTAATAAGGTTAAAAGGGTTATTTTTATTCTTTTTTTTTAAGTGCAAAAATAGTTTTCATGTAGGTAAACAAAGAAATGTAATCCTGAATTGTATGACTGCAGGGAAACAAGATTTGTAATAAGCGCTTCTATGGCTTTTCACGTTATGCAATTGTTTAAATTTTGGAAAGAGATCAATCAAATAGACCAGGATAAGGTTCATTGAATTTGTCTGTATTTATTCCATGAAAAGTTAAATCGTAAAATATTATTTTTGTGCAATTTGAACGTTGTCTATAACGATTTCAAACTGGCGACCTCCGAAGCAATTTTATGCTTCTGCGAATGTATTTCAGTTATGTATTTGTTGCAAATACAGTGATGCAAAGATTTCTATGTTTTATTTATCTGAAGTTTGAGTTGACATTACATTCACTATTACTAAACATGAACATGAGTAACACTTCAGAAAAATCTCTCAACATAAATTTTATTCAAAGATTTGAAGATACAAATTTAACTAACTTTTTTTTTTTTTTTTTTGTGAAAAAATCAAGAAACTTTTGCTTATGTTTTGGTTAATGGTTTAGATTTTTTACTGATATACCCAACTTTTAATACACAAAATCCTCTATATAGAGAAATCAGTGAAATATGCCTAACATAGAAAAATAACAGAATAATGTTTAATATTTTATATTAACTTATTAACATTTCAAAGTCTAATTATATTAAAATATAAATTTGATTATGAGGAGTTCTAAAACTGCTTTAATGATACAGGATTCTTCGGGTTAGGTAAAAGTGCCATGTATCGTCTGGATCAATCCTGGCTACGCTTCCCTTAACAATACCCAGGCTATATATAATAACCAATCTTTATACAGACAATGAGTTAATTGTTGATAATTTTCCATAAATTATATATATAATAGTATTCGGAACTAAGTACCGTTTCATTCTAGCGCCGTCGCAGCGCTGTGGTAGGCGTCCCGCGCATGCGCACTAGTCTTTCTTGTTCACTGACTTTCAATTGTCGCCATTTTGGTTGCTCTATGTTGTGTTTTCAGTTTGCTGTGCACATTCAAAATGTTTAAGACAATTAGTTCTCCCGCCGACTGTGAGATTCGTGCCGTGATTAAATTTTTGAACGCGAGGAATGTTAAACCGGCCGAAATTTATCGTCAAGTGACAGAAGTTTACGGTGAATACGCGATAAGTGATGGAATGGTGAGAAAGTGGGTAAGAATGTTTAATGCAGGTCGAACAAATGTCCACGCCGAGGCTCGGAGTGGTCGGCCTTCTGTTGTCACCGATGATTTGGTAAGGAAAGTTGATGAAGCAATTCATGAGAACAGACGCTTCACAATGACAACTCTTTCAGAGGCATTTCCACAAATTTCACGTACTGTTTTGTTTACTGTTTTGTTCGAAATTGTGTCTGACCGCTTGAATTATCGCAAACTGTGTTCCCGATGGGTTCCAAAAATGCTCACTGATGTTCACAAAACAAAGCGACTTGGTAGTGCCCTGACATTTCTCACGCGGTACAGTGATGAGGGAGAAAACTTTTTAAACCAAATTGTGACAGGTGATGAAACTTGGGTGTGTCATTTCACACCAGAATCGAAACAACAATCGATGGAGTGGAGACACACTCATTCTCCGAAAAAACAAAAGTTCAAAGTGACAATGTCATCACAAAAAATCATGTGCACTGTCTTCTGGGATAGGAAAGGCGTTTTGCTTACTGAATTTCTTCCCAGAGGTGAAACCATTAATGCGGCACGATATTGTGAGACTTTAACAAAACTAAGGCGTGCCATTCAAAACAAACGAAGAGGAATGCTCAGTAAAGGAATTGTGTTGCTCCATGACAATGCTCGGCCCCATACTGCTGGTGTCACTCAATCGTTAATTCGACAGTTTCATTGGGAGCAGTTCGATCACCCGCCGTACAGCCCGGACTTGGCGCCGTCCGACTATCACTTGTTCCTGCACATGAAGCGCGAGCTTGGTGGCAAGCGCTTTGGATCTGACGATGACACGAAAAATGCTGTGGAGTCGTGGTTATCGAAACTGGCGGGAAGTTTCTTTGACGATGGTATACAAAAACTGGTCCGCTATGACAAGTGTTTGATCATTGGCGAAACTATGTTAAAAATAGGTACTTCGTATTCGACACAAAATTCGAAATCGCCATTTGGCGACCCTACTGGAACCCTACGTATAAACGAAGTTTTGTAAAAAAAAATAACACTGGGCGTGTACTACTACAGCAATGGGTTTTCGGCGGAATTTGCCGAGAAAAGAAAGAGACTTTTCTGGTTACTGTACCTAACAGAAGTGCCGTTACCCTCATGGAAAAAATTTGCGAAAATATCAAGGAAGGAAGCATCATTTATTCGGATTGCTGGAAAAGATACAATACAAGTGAGTTCGAAAATGCTGGTTTTCTGCATGGAACTGTTAATGACAAATATAACTTTGTGGATCCCAACACGGGCGTTCACACACAACATGTAGAGCGCATATGGGGCTCAGCCAAATGGCGCAACAAAAAACAGAGAGGAACAGCCCATCATCATCTTAACTCATACCTTATCGAATTTATATGGCGCCAAGCTGAAGCTGTTAATGGCGAAGACGGTTTTCAGTCAGTGCTAAAAGGAATAGCCAAAAGATTTCCGCCGAAAAAATAATTCTGCAACTTATTCAAATTCGAAACCGGAAGGGTTTAATTGCTATTTTATATTTTAAAACAAAATAATATAAAAAAACTGTATTAAAAATTATCTGTAATTAATAAATGTACATTTTCTTTCTATCCATACTTTTTTACTCAAACTTACAAATCGCGCCAACCTGGTTGCGATAATACTTAAGTACCAAAAATAGTTTAAGACGTGTTTTCATGTAAAAATAAAATTGGATTCGAAAAAATTGTTTTACTATTTTTTTTTCAAAACGGTACTTAGTTTCTGAATACGCCTCGTATATATATTTATTCATATTAGGAGTACAACTAATTTATTTAGAAATTAATTACTGTTTGTTATGGCCAAACTCCCATATATTTAAATATTAAGTAGATAGTTAAAACAAATTTCCATTCTAATTAGAAATTATCTGGAAAAACGAGCGATAAGTTAGAAAAAGAGCAGATTTCATTCTATAAAAATAAGATCATTTTATTCTGATTAGAATTGTAATTAATTATATATAAAATAGACATGGGATAAAGGAGCATATTTTATAATTTTCTTGTATAAAAATAAAATGATCTTATTCTAATTACAGGTGTAAAATTAATTTATTTAGAAAATAATTAAACAGCGAATTCAAAATGTCTACTGACAAGGTCATGTGATCATCAGCACAAAGATTTATGCGCAGACTGTTGACACCCAATGCAAAGTATAGAAAGAAAATATCCCTTTCCTTTTCCCTATCTTAGTTAACATCTGAGCTAGCAAACTAAACACTCTTCGCGCTGTTTGGCGCCTATCGCCCAAGTTGGCAAATGTGATTTCAGGAACCTCGCCAAGTGCCGAGTTATCTGAGTATCCCCACATTTTTATTTAAATCAATCAGATTAAAAGCAAAAACATTTTTAAGAACTGCATCTATTGCTTTTAAATAGTTTAGTTTGTTTATCAGTAACAGACAATATGAAAGAACAGTATCTTACAGTTTTCTGAATGTCAAAAAAGTAAAACAATGCATGAAGAGTGAACCACCCAAATGCATGTTTTGAGATTAATAGCTTGTTTGGGCTAATGATACAAGTAAATATTAAAGGATACTGATTCGCCATCCTTGCATACAAGAAGCTCCAACTTTCACAAAATCATTTGCACAGCTTGAAGTTTCTTTAGCAGTAACAGGCTCAGATAATGTTTGTCCCATTTTCCTGGAAAATAATACTTAAAATAAAAAATGTCATTAGGAGAATTTCATGCAGTGGATTTTATTTCAATTAATAAGATTGGATTCCCCCCTGCTATTTTGGTAAATGTTTATTGAAGCATGAATCTAAAAATACTTATCGATTATAACTATTACTGAAATAAAAGTTAAAAAATTAGAAACTACTCTTATATGCGCCCTCAGGTCACCAATTGCAGCGAGAAACTCCACGGTGCCATATTACTATCTAAATTTTTTGTTTACATTTCGAATTTAAGCCTAAAATGTCTCCAAAAATTGCGGTTTTCGCACATGCAAAAACCACATTTTTAACACACAATTTAACATAAAAATCTGAAACAAAAACAAAAATTTAGATAGCAAAAACTTACTAACCAAAAATATTTGACAAGAATCCATGTACATAGCGATATGTTATGACTTAAAAAAACATTTACGAACTGCACAATCTAGCCAGCGAAGGAATCTAAGAACTACACATACCTCGCTTTAATAAATTAACATAACAACAATAAATTTCAAAGAATACCATGTACACAGCATTCTGTTTAAACTTAAAAAAACATCTACGAATTGCACAATCTAGGCATTGCGCACACATTAAAACCAACTAAAACAAATTACAAATAATTCAAAAAACAACAATAACAACAGAAATTCATAGTAAAAAAACAATGAACATAATATTCTACAAATAAAAAACAATAAAATAAAATGCACTTACCATAATCGATGCTTCTTCGGCCAGCAGAACGTAGCTTTAACATGCCACCACGTAGTCTCTATGGTATTTATATGACAGCCAGACTCGCTATCCACAAAATTCATACTATGGTTCACAAATAGATGTTCAAAGCCTTCTTTTCCTAAATCCTTGTAAGATTTCCAACCATCCGAAAAAATACTTGTACAAGGCTCAATCCACTCTTTAATACACTGCATCAGTGTTTCCTTACTTTTATCATGCACAGCCACTAAAAATAATCTCCCTGACCCTCTTGCAACCACATCTCTCATTGCAACATAGGCCATTTCAAAACACGCATGACACGAACCAACCAGAAATTAAACCTCTTCAGCAAATGAGTTTTCAAGATCAAAAGGGTTGCCATACAACATGCAATCATGCTAAAAACCAGCGCAGAACACATATCGCCACATCTGGTGATCTTAGGGCGCATTTAAGAGTAGAGCCAAAAGTTACTGCAGTTTTTATTACCATCAAATACACTTTCTGAATGAAATAATAATGCATGCAAACAAAAATGCAAATAATGTATAATACAGTTATACAGCAGTCCTGTACCTTATATAATCTTATAACATACATAATTTAAAAATTGTAAAGGTTTAAACCTTTTCCAGAATATTTCTTATTTACTTCGTATATAATCTATTCCCATCTTCCAGCATGCTTAAATAACATCTATATTATTGTATTTTAAATAATAACAACCAATTAATACAGCCATACCCATAAAATTCCTGGTTATTTTAAACTTTACCATTATGCCATTCATTACGTATTCATTAAGTAATTACTTATAGTAGTATGTGCTGTTTAATGCGATCACGTTTGCCCACAGCTATTTTGATAACATTAAATGATGAATACAAAGATGACAAAAAATATCCTTCAAAATAGCAATTAGACCAAATGTACACAAAGAGAAAATACAGACAAATACTTCCACAAAATTTTTATTCAGAAAATGCAAAAATTTGTTTATGAACTGTTCATAACATTTCTGGAAATTGTTTGATTGATGTCATACATTTGATCTTATTACTCAGAGCACATTGTCATACACTAAAGACAACACACAAATGTAAAATTTAAAAGTACGCAAAAAAGCAACCTTAGTTTGCATAAATGTTTTAATGGGAGAATTTTTTTAAAAGATGGGAGAGGGGACATTCGGCAATAATTTTTTTGCTTCTGAAGAAAAGAGACTTGTGTCTGTTCATCCTCAAAACTGATACAATTATTCAAATTCTATACAAAACAAAAGATGCTTGTTTGCCCAATTTTAAATAGTTGACTAAAATCGAAAACAAGGTATTTAGGAACATAATCCCTCAACTGGAGACATTTTTCTCACACCAGTGAGTTTTTTTAATTTAAACCTTATTTGGTTAATCTTCGGATTATGATAACTTGGCGATTTTATGGCGAAAATTTGCTGACCAACCCTGCTACAGCAACCTGCTAGTTTTTTGGATGCCATTTTGTTTTCACAAAGTAAAGGCTTTTTTTTTTTTTTTTACTCAACATTTCTTTTCAACAATCTGCTAGCCGAATTATGCTTATGCTAGAACTTTTATGGAACAAAAGTGCTTAATCATGACGAAGATTAGGTGCGAAATTGGAAGTGCAGAATCGTCCACTGTTTGCCGCGTTTTTAAGAACTGCACATACACGGTATCCATGTACACGTCGATCTATTTTCACTTAAAAAAAATCCCAGAATTCACAAAATGGCATTGCGCACACTCTTGACGTTATCCATGTACACTGCTAAAGGCCTAGCTAGTAGCCTTTATCACCTTACCAAAATGTCGACAAACTACCTGTTACCATATTCCAAAGATTAGCCCCTTATTTAGTGACTTCAGATAAAAAAAATAAATATTTGATATTAATCAAATTTTTTTAATCACAATAAGTGATGTACAGTGTATCTGAGATCCAGAATCATGGAGACTTTGGTGATTACAGATTTTAGATCATCAGTTTAAATGACATATAGACATGGCAATATTGGAGCCTAACTTATTGTTTAAGTCACACAGAAAAGTGGTAACCATTGCAACCAGTCAATATGCGATACTGAACAACGATATGCAAATCAATAAATATACTGTTGGCAGACATCATGGGACTTCCTAGCCAGCAGGTGTTTGATAGTAAAATGCAGAAGTAGGGAGAAAATTCACAATTACAGCACACCTGTCTCCTTTTGTTAAATATTAAATTCTCCATCTCTAGACTTTGGAAGAAGGGTTTATTACTATTATTGTTATTATTAATTGAGCTGGTGATCTTATTAGTTCAACTCATTGCAAACTTTTATTCATAATCATGAACAGCACTAAAAACTTATACAGAAAAATTACAGACGTCCACCTTCAGCACATCCCACACCAACACACGTGGTGAACGAAAAAACACATGGTCAACAACTCTTTAGTCAATGTTACAGTTACATATGAAAATTTAAAAACAATAACACAGCAAAACAAAAATGTTCTGAAAATTCACACACTTAATTTAAAAAAATTAAATGCACATTATTACGGTTATTAGCAATGACAAATAATTATTACACTTTTCTTTCATAATTTAAATTGATTTTTTTACCAATGTCTGGGCTATCACCAGGCCACTGAAATGCTAAGTTCAAATCCAATGTATTGGACTGGTGCAGCCATCTACTGACAAGATAGTGAAATGCAAAGTGTTCTAACATTACTCCCTCACCAGTAACTAAGTTACGATACTTAAATTGCATTGGTAAGGTCAATAATCAAATAACGTGATCACTACATCTCATGATCAAAATGCACTCCATGTATAAAAGAATGAATTTCTAAGCTTGCATCTGGTTCTGAATTGTAAGGTTATAGTAAATTAAAATACAAATAATAATTAAGGTAGCTGGAACTTCAAGATATATCACTAATCTTTTTTGTTCCATGCTGGAAATCCACATAATTGTAGATACCACATTCAATATTCTATACATTCATTATACATTTCATTATTATATCTCAAAGTTAATATATACATACATACTCCATATCTGGGCTTAACTGAACAATTCAATGACATGCTTTCAGTGACATGAAAATAGTTAACACCAATAAAAATCTGATCAGTATTACTAAAATTTTCACATTTCATAGCAGGTATTTTAAAAACACCAAATGCACTTTTCTTATTTTACTCACTCCTGACTGACTCAATGCAACACTGTCCTGAATATACACCTTAGCAACTAATATTCTTTGAAAATTATTAGTTTTCTGAAAAACAGGTATTAGTACTGCATTAAGCTGCAGCTGGATAGAAATTATATTTGCTCTAAAGCTCATATATGCCTAATACCAACATGATTAGAACACTACTTATTTACATACAGCTCAAATTCTTAATTTTCAATACTGCAATCTAACATTAACAAATTAGTGAAAAAGACATATCTCATAATACATAGATATATGTGCACTACACTATATAGCACTGAAATATTCTAACTGAAACAATAATTGTATTTTATAAGATAGCTTCTAAGGAGGTAATGCAGATGTTATGCCTAAGCAAAAACACACTGTATTCCAAAACACAATAATACCAACCCTTACAGCTATTACATGCATATAAAATTTGAAGCAAAAATTTCTAGAACAGTAAAAAAACAATATGGAAAGTATATCTGAATATATTCATGAACAGTAATATATTGCTCAATATCTACACCACTATGACTCTGGTATATTACAGAAGATACATAAATTAGAAATTATAAAATCAGTATACATTATTGTGAAGGAGATAAATACGATATGACATTAGCCTTAATTGGGGAAGTAGATCATGAATAATAATATTTGCAGTAACAAGAGATAAGAGTTGTGATTGAGTTTTAAGTTCGAAACCTAACAGGAAGTTTTATTTCTCTACCACAACGAGTGTTTGTTGGGAAATTACTATGATGCATTTCCTTTGAGGATCCACCATTGACATCGTCGTCAAGAAGCTGATTCGGTAGTTCTGGCATGCTATCTGCATTCATAAGGTAAGCAGGTTTCAGCCTATCAATAGAGATGTTAACATCTTTTCCTTTAATATGCACAGAATAATACTTATCATGTCTTTCTGCTACAGGAAATGGGCCATCATATGCAGGCTCTAGTGGTTTTTTCACCCGATCAACTCGAACGAACACATGAGTACAGGTCCTTAAATCTCTATGTACAAAAACTTTTTGATAAG